TATTAAATGCAAACCCATTGCAAACCCGCATCACTCGTGGCTAACATTTTTTGACACGAATTTTATACACATATATCTCTCACTCACTCACTCACTCACTTAATAGATAATACGGAAACTTATTGTGTATGTTATAGTTAATAGAACAAAATATTGCTTTTTAAATTAAATTCTTTTAGCTAAAAATATTTAGTAAAAGTATTTATTTTTCTATTTAAAATATAAAAGTATGCGGTACCTTTAGGAATTTTATTTCCCTTGATATTATATAAGGAAAAATGCGTTAAATAAACAGAAATGTGTGAACAGTAATTATCTTTTACATGTCTATTGAATACAGGTTTGTATTCAAAAAGTCGCTTTAATTCATTAAACTTTATGATTAAAGCATAATTGAACGCTAATTAGTTTTGTTCACAAAAATAAATAAAACTTTAACCAAACAATACTGTATATGTCGTCTTTTTATGTTATGTTTGTAATTATAACTGAGAATTGAGTGAAAGTCTTGTTGTCGATGTACTGTACGAGAGATATATGTGTATAAAATTCGTGTCAAAAAATGTTAGCCACGAGTGATGCGGGTTTGCAATGGGTTTGCATTTAATAAGACATGAATCATAAGATAAGTCACGTATTTCTCGTATTTTGTCCAAAAATCACTAAAAAGTTTTGTTGAGCCAAATCTGAACACACTTTTTGCAAATGCAAGCGAAACATCAGTTCATCTGAGAAAATATAATTTCATATTTGATTAGCGCTGTATAATTCAATGTCTATTTATAATTTGTTGCTAACTATCGATAGACTTTGAAACTTAATAAAAAATATAAATACATATTAAGAGAAAGATAAAGTTATTTTAAAATTATTTTCAATAAAACAGTTTTTTAACTTATTGCCGCATTTTAATTATAATATTAGCTAGTTCTAAAACATTTTAATAATGACCACTTGAACTCTACTTTTAAAAATAAATATGAAGTAAACAAAACTTTAATATGGTATAAAGTTATTGAATACCACTAGAATTAATATACAAATTAAGCTCAACGTTATATTTTAATCATTAGAAAAGACCTTTTCTAAGTATTATATTAACTGATGCTGTGATAAAAACTAAACTTTAGTCTAATTTATAGAACATATTATCAATAAATTATTATGTAATATGATGATTTTTATTTTAAAAACTAATAAAAAATTACTACAATTTTAAAATATCAACATATAAATAAGCTTGCAACATAAAGTGAAAACAACTTAGGAATTAATTGCTGTTTATTATTTTTAATTATAAAAACATTAGTATAATATACTATAATATATTATTTTAAATGATTGTTTAATATAGTTTAGTTATGCTTATAATTTAATTCATAATGAAAATTATGAATTTAGTCGAAACATTTTGATATTTTAATAAATTATATTTGACTAAAAAATAAGAGTTTATTTTTAAAGCATTTGAATGGAAAATAATTTTTTAAAATACAAAAATAATTTAGAGTTGAAAATATGTATGGAAATGAAATCAAACTCTGAGATCAAAATGTGATCACTTTTTCTCTTCGATGTGATGAACGACGACCACTGTATGGGGCGGTTGTATCTCATCGGCCGAAATCGATGCCATTATGAAGCATATGAGACAACACATGAGCGCCAGTATTAAGAAACAAAAGATGACCACAAATGTAATGAAGATGTATGAGAACCAGTAGAAGAAGGGGTTGCAATAGTTGGCTGAAGTCTTGTCATCGGTGTTCACTTTACTGCTCTCGCCGTACACCCTAATCATGGCTATCAATGCAATTGATATATTCATTAAAAGCATAGGGTTTGTGGAAATACAAGACAATTCAAACCGATTATGAAAGCAATGAATGTGATAAACGATGAGATGATTATCACCACTTTGGCTAATGTGGCGAATCCATCTTTCAGGTCATTCACATTGAAACATTTGGAGCGAACTATAGATATAGTGATCCCATGGATGAGACTACAGGCGCCGAACACAAGCAAACTAATGGGAATCGCCTTCGAGATGGGACAGTCGTTCATGTATACGATTCCTGGTAATAGTCAATGCAATAGAATATAAGCATTCATTTTATAAATCATATCAAACCCAATATCAAGAATACAATTCCGATTAAGTTCTCAAATAGAAATAATGCCACAAAACAACCTATTATTCAGTGAATTAATAAGCTATTAATAGTTTTCGTCAAATGAGTTGTGGGATGACAGAGCTTACAGGACTCGACCATAATCTGGAGGCTTTCACTACAACACTTGTATCTGTCGTTTGCATTCCTAGCCCTTGCTTCTTGGAGTCGAGTCCAGAACCACTTCGAGTCATCGTTTTTGGTCACCGGAGGTGTCTTCGGCTTGTCTTTGGTTTCTTCACTCATTGTATTAATTATTCCTATCTTTTATTCAACTGATAGTCTGATTTGTCTTATCTAAATCTTGTGTTAAGTTAATGCCTAAACATTTGAAATAAGGATTTGCCTTAAAGCTCTTAATTTATAGTCATTAATACCTTTGTGTATTTATATAAAATCTGTGCGCACTATACGGTGGGTGCGCATTATCTGAGTAAAAACATAGTTTTGTGGCAAATATAGAAAGCGCACTATACGCCGGGGCGCACTATCTCACGTCAAACAGGGTAGTTTTTAAAATAAAAATCATCATATTACATAATAATTTATTGATAATATGTTCTATAAATTAGACTAAAGTTTAGTTTTTATCACAGCATCAGTTAATATAATACTTAGAAAAGGTCTTTTCTAATGATTAAAAATATAACTTTGAGCTTAATTTGTATATTAATTCTAGTGGTATTCAATAACTTTATACCATATTAAAGTTTTGTTTACTTCATATTTATTTTTAAAAGTAGAGTTCAAGTGGTCATTATTAAAATATTTGAGAACTAGCTAATATTATAATTAAAATGCGGCAATAAGTTAAAAAACTGTTTTATTGAAAATAATTTTTAAATAACTTTATCTTTCTCTTAATATGTATTTATATTTTTTATTAAGTTTCAAAGTCTATCGATAGTTAGCAACAAATTATAAATAGACATTGAATTATACAGCGCTAATCAAATATGAATTTATATTTTCTCAGATGAACTCATGTTTCGCTTGCATTTGCAAAAAGTGTGTTCAGATTTGGCTCAACAAAACTTTTTAGTGATTTTTGGACAAAATACGAGAAATACGTGACTTATCTTATGATTCATGTCTTATTAAATGCAAACCCATTGCAAACCCGCATCACTCGTGGCTAACATTTTTTGACACGAATTTTATATACATATCTCTCGTACAGTACATCGACAACAAGACTTTCACTAAATTCTCATTTATATAATAATTACAAACATAACATATACAGTATTGTTTGATTAAAGTTTTATTTATTTTTGTGAACAAAACTAATTAGCGTTCAATTATGCTTTAATCATTAAAGTTTAATGAATTAAAGCGAGTTTTTGAATACAAACCAGTATTCAATAGACATGTAAAAGATAATTACTGTTCACACATTTCTGTTTATTTAACGCATATTCCCTTATATAATATCAAGGGAAATAAAATTCCTAAAAGTACCGCATACTTTTATATTTTAAATAGAAAAATAAATACTTTTACTAAATATTTTTAGCTAAAAGAATTTAATTTAAAAAGCAATATTTTGTTATATTAACTATAACATACACAATAAGTTTCCGTATTATCTATTAAGTGAGTGAGTGAATGAGTGAGTGAGAGAGAGAGAGAGAGAGAGAGACGAGTGAAATGTTTTATTAAACGAAAAGTTGATTTCATTTAAAGGTTAACCAATTTTACAGAAGGGATGACATTAGCGAATGATTGACAACTGAATATATCTTCAATAACACATATATTCAGCAATCCTTTGGACGGGGAGTGAAGTAATCTTTAATGCAAACAATTTTGGAGGCATTTGTGTTGCATTATTGTCATAACATAAGCAAAGGGCACAACTCTATACAACTCTATTAGCGATCAGAAGCAAACATTTGCAACACTGGGAGAGACTGGAGAGAGACTGGAGAGAGAGGTGAGAGTGAGAGAGACCTGAGTCTTCACAACACTATTCTTCACTCGAAAACTGTATATCGAATGCAAAAGCCGTCAAAAAAGCGATGGTTTTTGAGAATAGAGTTTATATTAAGAATAATATTTAATCAGAAAAAACAGTTTTCAAGCGGTGTTTGAGTAACGCATGTGTCGAGCATAATGTGGGCTTCACGTCGACGGCTGAGCACATCCTTACCGGTTGGTTGTGTGCTGTGGAGTGGGATCCGGACTATTAGGCCAGCCCTTAGCCAATGAGACGAGTGGTGGGGTTTGGAGAAGAGGAGAGAGAGAAGTGGAAGAAATTGGGAATTCATATGAAGTAGTTATGACTCTTGAAGTTGTTGTGTGCTTCTGATGAGACTCTGTCTTCACATCGAGTTATTGTGAAGAGCTCTCCATCTGATTCCTAAGAGTTATCAAAGCCATCGCACAGTCATCTCAACCTATCGTGAGAACTGCTTCTCATATATAAGTCATGAATATAGGCTCGTCTTCATCGCCGTCCTCCGTCTACGGCACTGACGTACAGCACAGGTCCTCATTCGCCAGCGCCTACTACGACCCCTTCTACCCGAACGGCGGTCCCACCACTTGGAGCTCATACCCACCGCCGACCTACCAGAGCCAGACGGGACAGTCCGTCAGCTCCGGCGCCGGTTCCTGTCTGTTGCCGTCGGGACCCAAAGGACTGGTTGGCCCGCACTTCACGCCAGTACACCATCAAAGACGAAAGCGCAGAGTGCTCTTCACTCAGGCACAGGTACTGTACGTGTGGATGAGTACCTCTTCAGGGTATATGACCTCTTCAAGACATACGATGACCCTTATCATTGTATTGCTCCTATATATGGATGACCCTCTCATCAACGCCCTTCCCTTCCACCACTAATCCCTTTCCTTATCTAATGTATTATCTGAGAGAGAAGTGCTAAACACAAGTGAAGCTCTGAAACACTCCACCAATTCTTGACATCAACTCCGGCTCTAAAAGCGATACTAAAGCGATACACATGTAAAGTGTGTTCATGTGTTGCACGGCTTTCCATCACTACATCATTGCTCTCCACAACTCATCGCAACTCTCTCTCTCTCTCTCTCTCTCTTCCCTCTCCTCTCTCTCTCCTCTTTCTCTCTTCAAAAGCACTTTAATTTAACAAAACTTTTACTCAAAATACTTATAAACCGATACTTTATTATGTATTTCTCACTCTTAACTATTCCCTTGCGTTTAATACAAGGCATGAGTTTTTTAAGCACCAAATCTAATGCAAATCCGTTTAGGTCTACGAATTGGAGCGACGATTCAAACAACAGAGATATCTATCAGCGCCCGAAAGGGAACACTTGGCTTCACTCATACAACTCACTCCAACACAGGTATGTCTTATGTTTGCCAACAGGCTTTCCGTGCATTCAATTTTTCGTAGACTTATTTTTAGGCATTTCTGAGTCTAATATTCAAATATTTACCTAATTTTTTGCGGAACCCATATTTAGTTTTAATGATTTGTTTTGTTTTGAATAATTTCTATACAATTACACACAATAAGAAAAATGTAAATTTCATTTTTTCTGTTTCCTTACGTCAATCCTAATCTGAATGTCACTGTAGAAAAAAAGCCAAACAGTTTTCACAACTGTTATACTGTATTAAAAAAGTGGAGTTTAACTAACAACTAATGCTTTTGTGCCTTTCAATTGTCTCACTGCAGGTGAAGATTTGGTTTCAGGTATGCCTACAAAAGTCTTGTCAAACACGCAGTGCCTGCGAATCGCTCGAGGAATACCTCATGAGATCGCGAATATGCACTCGTAATTGAAAAGCAAATGTTAAGTGAAGTCTTGTTTTTTATATTCGCGTAATACGTTTGGACCGCAGAATCATCGCTACAAATGTAAACGACAGGCAAAGGAGAAGGCGATGAGCGACGCCTCGCCAACACCACCGCAAAACTCCACGAGCGCTGGAAGTGTCAATCAAACCAGTAATACATCAAACAATTCTTCCAGTCATGCATACAGTTCCTCTCCCCGCAAAGTTGCCGTACCGGTGCTGGTAAAGGATGGCAAGTCTCTAATGTGAGTCCCCCATCACTCTCGCGCTCTTATATCCACTGTTTTTTATGTTTCCTCGCAATTCAGAAACAGACAACAAAAACCATTTAACTATTCATTCACTCATATAATCCACAAACAGTTTTAGGCTATCATTACTGAGATTACCTCTTTTGAAAAACAATCCTCACTATTAGTGTTGAAGCTTTGAATCCAAACAAATTCAATTAAATAAAGGTTTTGATTTGTGTGTTAAAGCATAACTTAGTTTGTATAGTTAGTAGAGTTTAGGAATTTTTTGCAACAGTTAATGAATTACTCATTATATTAGCTATAATTTGATTCTTATTTATATTTTGCCAAATAATAAAATTCTGTGTTTTATTATTATTTAATTTGATTTTTTGTTTATCAAATCAATCATATTATTGTAAAATATTTTGTATATTTAAAAAGAATAGAAAACAAATGTAATTCAAGGATAAAGTATTCATTGATTTTCATTGCCTTCCGATTCAGAGAAATAGTTATTTTATGGATTTTAAGGTCACTATTGAATAGATGTTTAAGAAATAACCAAAAAAGAAATTAAATAAATATTAAAACTGTTTTGTTAATATAAAAAATAGATTATGACTTGTATTACAATTGAAAATCTACAGAATTGGAAAATACCGTATTTTCCAAAACAATTAAATAATAATAATGTGAAAAGTGTTGCAAATTTAGGCATTGAAGTGAAAATGTAAATTTATTTTTAACATCTATATTATTACATAATTATAAACCTATTAAACACTAATCTTGGACCAAAAAAATTAATTGGTTTTTGTTTTCTGACTTTTATCTGTTTTTCTCTTCACTACTACCCCTAAACCTACCAGTGCTTCGGCATCAGCTAACTCTCCCCCACACGATCACAGCTCACACCACGACAACGCAATGTTGATCGCATCGCAGGCGGTGTCGCCGGCGAGTGTGGCCTCGGCTGCGGCGGCCACTCATCATCACTACCACCACTTCGGCGCAAACAACGGGCCGCCAGTCGGCGTGGGAGTCGGGCCCACGTTTGCCAACCCGTTCGCCGGCCCCAACACCTTCTCATTGGCACATCAGGAGCCGCACCACGACTTTCTATTGAGGACATCGGTGTCGCACTGGTAGGCCTCCATTGATCTTTCTATTCAATCTCTCTTATCTAGACTTTTGTTAAAGTTTTAATGTATTTATTTTGTTGTTATTTTCTCGATACTATACTCTCCATTGCTTTTTCATATGATATTATTAGTGAATTAATAATTGCATTCGTATACTCATTTTTATATAAGATATATTCATGTATAAAAACATTTATTAGCATTTATTTCGTATGATTTCTACAGAATATTTCTGTAATACAAGTTTTACAATGTTTTCAAATAATGTATTAAGGAATTCAGTGTATGCCAAAATAGATAGTTAACGGCACAGCATATTAAATTTTATTGAATTTAACAATTAGTAACACATTTTCGATCTGAATATCGTATTAATCTAATGTAAAATAGTCTGAATATATCATAATAATGTCTATAAATTACATATATTAGAAATGCATTACAATTAGTGAACTTATCGAGCTTTTTATTGAAATTACAATTTTTAC